AAATTGTACCTGAACATTCCCTACACAATACAGTATAACAATCACTTGCACAGCATTTACATTGTAGTAGGTATTATTAAATAGTACAAGTGACCTAGAAATGATTTAAAGTATATAGGAGGAGTCAGGCAGAGTGGCACATGCCTGAATCCTAGCATTCTGGAGGGGATGAGACATGAGGATTGCAAGTTCAAGCTCACCCTGGGCAATCTAGTAAGACTCTGTTTCAAATTTAAAAATAAAAAAGGGCTAGGAATGGAGCTTGGAGTGAAATTCCTGGTTTCTATCCCTGGTATCGCCAAAAAAGAAAAAAAAAAGCATATGGGAGGATGCGCATAGGTTGTATGCAAGCACTGTGACATTTTATATAAGGGATGTAAGCACCCCCAGATTTTGGTGTCCACAGGAATGGGACTACGCTGTCCTGGAACCAATCACCACGGAGAAACTGCTTTTAAGATTACAATCAGACATCATTTTCCTAAATTCCTCCAGATCACGTTGAAGGCTTCAGCTCATTTCAAAGCAGTTTTTCATTACAAAATTTGGTCCCTATTCTTCAGCCCTAGAATGACTGGGTTAGTTTTTTTCTTTGGGGGAACAATGCCTGCTTAGAATGGTTCCTCTAAAGGTATGTACATTTCCAGTGCCCAGCACACAGCACAGCAGCTTAACCATTACAACTGGTCATCACCATAGGATCATTAAGGAGTGTGACAAGAATCACCACTAATTATTCTCTGGGGCCAGTGATGGACCTCTGAAAAGAAGCGGCGATGTTGTTTAAAAACAACAACAACAACAAACCCCATCCCTGGGAAAATGAGGATTGGACATAAGATCCCCTCAATAGTTGGGGTGAGGCCTCTGGCTGGTCTGATTCTGTTAGAGCCTTCCTTCATTTCTAGATGACTTAGAAGCCAGAATACGTAAGGCAGCCCTTACACCTACTTGATTCTAGAAACACTGCCATATCTAACCCATCTACAGGCATGGTGCTCTCTACAAAGTCTCACCTAGGATGCAGAAAGAAGAGTCGAGTGTGGGCCTGTGACAGGCCTCTCACCTTTCTAGTCTACAGTCTGGCACAATATGCAAAGGCTGGAAATCCAATCTACCTCAGCAGTTACTCATTCCTAGTGGTCTCCAAGTTCTTCATAATAAAGTTAGTTTTACCCCAGAAAATGTCCACATGGTCATACAGTATTTCAGTGGGGCAGATCTTGACCAGACACAGGAACTGAGCCAGAACATTAAAATACCTTATTCACATCCAGCCACCCCACCACAGCCAAACACCAAGTACCTTTGGGTCATCAGCCTCAGGTTTTTCAGTCTCTGAATCGTCATCTTCCTACAAGACAAAGAATTTAGAGGATTAAGCTTAAAGAGTGGGCCTGAGGGGTCTCACATGCATCTCTAGAGGCTGGAGCAAATAGCCATTTACCCAGCCAGGGCATCCCCCCAAGAATCCCTCCCCTATACCACAGGACACAGAAGTAGAGAAAGAAGGGGGAAAGGAGATGTTCTGAAGAAAAAAAACACCAGCCGCTCAAAGTCAGTGGTCATTCCAATGGTACCACGGTTCACACCAAGAAAGCCTGAGGTAGAAATCACATTAAATGTACAGAGAAGATACAATCTGCTTCAGAAAAAAGACCAGGCCACATGACAAAACAGGTATAGTGTGTTCACTGGAATATTAATTGTTTAGAATCAGGACTATGTACCTTTGTTCCCCTTCATTAAGTTTTGTACCACAAATACAACAGACTTGGACCTAGCATGACATTGTTCAAAACATCAGTGCTATGACTCACACGCCATCTTCTGCACTTCAGCACTTCAACGCAGTTACTGACACTGATATGAACACAGTGAGGTGGTCACCAAATGACCACGGCAAGTGACTCAGGAAAGGCACGGCTAAAGGGGAATGCATAGTTTTTTCTAGATCCCAACTGAGTGGGTTCTGCCTCCACCTGAGTGCTCATTCGTTCGCCCAGCCTGTTTCTTAGCCAAATGAGACCTGCCTGACTCAAAGTACCATGTGGCTAAGGCATTCTTTGAAGCGAGCACACCATTCCATTAAACACTCATGCTAATGAAATAAAGCTCAGAGTTCAGGAGTAGATGCTAGACCAACACTCTCTTGGTTAGCTAAGCCCACATCACTTCCATCACTTGCAGCACTCCCAGTGTGCAGAAGCTCTTAACTAAATGCCCAGGAACAACTGATTCATTTGAAACTATTATTTTCAACAAACTTACACTTTAACCCAAACATGACACAGCACTCCAGATATTAATATAAAGACCATCAAAGAGATGAGAACAAAGTATACTAATGATTCTGAGACTTAACTGCTCTCTAAAGTGCTAGTGAAACAAAAGCTTTAGATACACTCTCCATCATCTCCTTAAAATGAAATCAGTCAGACAAATAATTTGAAATAGAGCTTGGCTGCATATAATCACATTTCAGAATGTCTGTATGGGATGAGAAGATTTTACTAAAATATGAAATAAAAGCTGGGTGTGGTGGCACATGCCTATAATCCTAGCACTCAGGAGGCTGAGGAAGAAGGAATGCTGCAAGTTCAAGGCCAGCCTGGGTTACACTGTGAGTTCATGGCCAGCCTGAACTACAAAGCAAGACCCTGTCTCAAAAAACAAATAAACAATCAAAAGTTTATTTTATTTTATTTTTTAAGAGTAAGAAGAATTGCTAGGTGTGGTGACACATGCCTGTAATCCCAGCACTCGGGAGGCTGAGGCAGGAAGATCATTGCAAGTTTGAGACTAGCCTGGGCTACAAAGTGAGCTCAAGGCCAGCCTGAACTGCACAGAGAGACCCTGTCTCAAAAAGACAAAAAACAAACAAACAAAACACACACACACATACACACACACACACACACACACACAAAACCCAGTAGGGAGAATTTATTGTGAGAAACAAAGCTTCTGTCTGAGAGGGAAAAAGGGGGCCCAGAAAGTGAACTGCCTATCCAAACAAAAGCTTAAATATGCAGAAAATTCTATCAAGCCAAATACGAGAACAACATTTAAAAAATGCACATTATGCAAAGGTATTAAAAGAAAAATTATGGATACTAAAGCAGTATGTATGTTCTTGAGAGAAGTCAGGAAAAGAAAGTACAAAGCTCTTCTACAGAATTTAGCAACTCTGAACTAACAGCATTAAAGGGTAGGGCTGAAGTGATGAAAGTATCTCATGAAAGAACACAAAATACATTTCTGAGCTCGGCGTGGCATGCCTGTACTTCTAGCTAGTCAGAAGGTTAATTGAGACCCTGTCTCAAAATTTAAAAAATGGGCCAGGCGTGATGGCGCATGCCTGTAATCGCAGCACTTGGGAAGCTGAGGCAGGAGGATCGTTGTAAATTTGAGACCAGCCTGGGCTACAAAGTGAGCTCAAGGCCAGCCTGAGCTGCATATCGAGACCTTGTCTCAAAAAGACAAAAAAATAACAAAAACAAAACCAAAAAAACCCCCCAAAAACCCAAAATTTAAAAAAGGGCTGGGGTATGTATTCAGTGGTTCAGCGCCTGCTTAACATGCATAAGGTCCCAGGTCCAATTCCTCAGCACTCAAAACAACCCCAAAATGTTTCTGTTTTATTTGGAATACCCCCTACTCTCTTTGGTGCTGGGAACTGGATCCTGGGTCTTGTGCTAGGAAACAGATCTACCACTGAGCTATACCCACAGTCCTAATCTGGAAAGCATTTTTTTTTTTTTTTTGATATCTTTTTTATTTTATTTTACTTTTTTTGTACCAGGAGTCGAACTCAGGGCCTTGTGTTTGCCAGGCAACCACTTGTACCACTGGGTTATATCACCGGCCTGGAAAGCATTTTAATGCCAATGTTTACATATTAACATCTAACAAAATTTTCAAACAAATAATAAAATACCTTGTGTTTTAATTAAAACTGTTGCAGCTGGCTGTGGTGGTGCACACCAGTAATCCCAGCACTCAGGAGGCTGAGGCAGGAGGATCATCGAGAGTTTAAGGCCAGCCTGAACTACACAGTGAGACTGTGTCTCAAAACATACAACTGCTGTAAAACAGCCATATTCATATCTACATATATCTGTTTGTGCTAAGCACTAGCCTAAATTTTCCTGCTTTTTCTTCAAACTTCTGGCTTCTGCTGCTTAGACAATTATGCAGCCTAAATCCTTCTTTTTTTTTTTTTTCTGGTACTGGGGATCGAACTCACGACTTTGCGCTTGCCGGGCAGGCGCTGTGCCACTGAGCTAAATCCCCAGCCCAATCCTTCTTGTTAATAAGAACAGAAATTCTCCCTTTTTTGTTACTCAGCATTTACTCCTTAACTTTGGGGAAGATTTGTGATCAAGAACCACTGGGCCCTATTAAAGGTGTCAAAAGTGTCAAGTAAAATATCAAGAATGAAGTTAGGAAGGCTCAAAGTAGATGTAAGAAAATAATTCCTTATCTTCTTAACAAACCTAAGTATCTGAATGGCCCCCAAGACAGATAAAAAATAATACAGAGTTGATTGTAGATTTACATGAAACACCAATTAGGATGAACATAGTTACAAACAGAATAAACTATTTAAACAGGGAAAACAGAAAACACCCATTGATACCTGGTTAAATAACATAGTCTACCATCTTGCTTTGCAAACTTCAAAAGTTCACACAAAATGATCCAAGTGAAAGTAAATGCAATTTTCAAATAGAGTAGAACTACTGATATTCAACCCAAACAAATGAGGGAGAGGGATTAAGACAGCTATGAAATGGAATGCTGAAAAACAGAACAAAAATGTAAGAAAACTTTCCACTCTGTAATTTTTTTTCTTTTGTTTTTGTGACAGGGTTTTACTATGTAGTTCAGGCTGGCCTAGAGCTCACTTTGTAGCCCAGGCTGGCCTCAAATTCACAGTGGTCCTCCTGCCTCAGCCTCCTGAGTGCTGGGATTACAGATGTGCGCCACCACACCCCACTGTTGTTCCACTTCAAAAAGCTTCTGATAAATTAAATGGTGCTTTGGGCAGCTCTGGATTTGGGAGGTTCACCTACCGACTGTTTGCTGTTCTCATCTTCCTCTTCCTCGTAACCTCCTTCATCTCCTCCTAGACGAGAAAAGTCATCCTCTCCATAGGCATCAGATACCAGTCCACTTTTCTCTTCTGAAAGAGGAGGAAAAACAGAACAAAAAATGTAAGAAAACTTTCCAGTGATTTGAACAGTCAGGAGTATTTCTGAAGATAAAAGCTGAACCTAAACCTCATATATGTGACCTCAGGCCCAATTCTGCCTTTTGGAAGGCCACATTTCAGTGGATAACTATTAAAAGAACAGAGGACAAGCTGGATGTGGTGATGCACACCTGTAACTGCAGCATCCAGGGAGGCTGAGAGAGGAGGATTGGAAGTTCAAGCCCAGCTAGGGCAACATAGTGACACCCTATCTCAAAATGTAAAAAATA